CATCCATTTAATTTTTGTCACTGACAGCTTTGGTACTGTATTTGTTCTCTTATTTACCGCTGCATATTCCTAAAGTGCCTTTGCATTTTGAGCTGTTGTTCTACTAGAATTGAATATTGCTTTCTGATTTTACTGATAATTTACCTTACTGGGTGTATCATTTCTAACATAATATTTGAAAGTGTATTTCTTTACCCCAAGTATTTCCTGACAGCTTGTAGTGAAGGTTTCTTTTATGTATATTCCACTTTATTACACACTTAGCATTTTTTGTATATTCCACTGTTCATCTATTTCCAGTAGAGTTGGATATTTAGTTTTGATCATACACAATTTTTGGCCATAATGCAACCTTTTGAAGTATTAATTTACAAATACATGTAATACTTATTTTCAAATGTGCATTGAAATAGAAGTAGAAACAAACCCAAATCTTATGAGACATTAGACTATGTACATGTATGTAAGAATTGTATCATGATTATATAGCTTCCTGAATGTGTTTTAATTTTTTTTTTTTTTTCACATCCTGTATCAGCCCTCGAGATTCATTTTGATGTTTGCTTTTGGTAGTGATTGTCTGAAGTTCTATTTGCTGATTGTTTTACACTAATACGTTATGGAGATCCTCAAAACCTTTTATCAATACAGTAATATTGTAATAATTATTTTATAATACAGTACATGTATAGTCTATGTGCATCTGGTGACGTCCTTGTGACTTTGTGAATGCCTTTGTGTCCCTCCTCAACATAAATGTATAATAAAAATGATGAACCAATTTTTTTAAATGCCTTAAGTTTTTTCCTCGTAAAGCTTCTTGAAATGACATAGCAATAAACTTAACTTTTCCTGCAAAACCCCCCCAAAAAATTTTAATTGAAAAATTCTACAGTATTTGGAATGAACTAATTTTAATCTGCGTATATAATACCATTCAAAACTTCATTTCAGTGCAAACTGCACTCTGTTAATTCAGTATCATTATTAATTTTCTCTTTTAGCAGAGCAGGGAATGATAATTTGGAGTTACTAAAATACAGAGTATTTTTTTTTTATTTCATTAGCATTTCTAGAGGGCCTTTGTATTTTTTTTTTTTGAATTTTTGGGGTAAAATTACGCAAATAAATTTTAGAAATACGTGAATAAATTTTAGAAATACATAAAATAATTTTATAAATTAATAAAATATAATGTTATTTATTATACTTTTAAAAGCTCATCTAACAGTGTTTAACATTTAGGCCTAATTTAACAGAATTTACAATCAAATCTTCCGCCGAAATAACTACGATGAAAATCGATCAATACACCGCGAGGCATCATGGGAAAATACAAAAGTAAACAAAGTATGGCGGCGGCAGAAGTTTCAGTAAGACACTTGTGTTCGAAGACCATAAAAACATCGATCACACGAATTATAAGATAATCCTACATTACAGCGCAACTTAATCATTATGTACAATTAAGACAACAACAAACGTTTAATTGAATAACAAGACGATGTCTGACATTCAACACATCTCTACAGAAGAAAAATGGCATCTACGCTACATTTTAAGCAAACACTTTATCGATCGATATAACTCTCGCTGTACATTCCAAAATTATGTACAAGAACTTATGGATGATTTGAAAGTGTGCATAAAAAGTGCTTTAGAAATATACCAAGAGGAAAATGAGTAATTCAAGAAAAATAGGGGGATCGTTACAATATATTAATTTTTTTCGAGAAAAATGCTTTGTTTGAATATGAATTCAAAGAATTAACCATTTTCCTAAACCTGTGGCATGATATTATTTCTCCTCAAGATAGAAAAAAATGTATCATCGCTCCTTAGTTTGATTTCAAATTTCATTTCAGTTCAGGACGGATTTACCTCTAATCTGTTGTTTTTTATTTATCGCAGATTAGATATGACTGTTTTATTTTAAGAACAATCTCAGGTTTAAGGTCACACGAATAAGGAAGACATTTATTTGCTATAAATACATAATTCTATTTCAAAGCATGAAATGTTTTTCTTTTCTTTTATTTTTTTCAGATAAAAACTATCAGAATATTTTTAAAAAAAAACGGGGGGGGGGGATAGAAACGAATTTCAGTATCAGAATTTCCTCTTTATTTTTTGTTTGGAACATTATATTCATTTGATTTTTTTTTCTAAAACATAAGTATTTTTAAAAAAGTTATTAAATCAGCCGTTCGGCAAGAATATAATTCCCGCAAGAATAATTAAACATCTCAATTTATCTACTAGTATTTTATTCTGAGTTGTACAAGTAAAATACGAGAAGGAAAAAATACGTTCTTTAAAATAATGTATCTAGCATCTAAAAACAAATAAAAAGATATTAAGGCAAATATACCTCAAATAATTTATATAGTCGTAGAAAAGAATTCTTCATTAATATATATTATTTGAAAAGCAAGGTATACTTGACAGAATTGTCTTTCTTTGTCTGTATTTTAATGTGACTTAAAATAAACAGTGTTGCCATAATAAAAGCCATATTGTATATTCCTAAGTAAATCAACCCATTTTACTTCATCATTTCCGTTATATAATGGGTCTTCTAATCTACCTACGACAGTGTCTTTTTAAGAATCGTTATTTTAATTCTAATTTGAAAGAACTGGTTTTATTTATATATTGGATATCCAAGTTTTATCAAATGCATATCCCTTGGATATGACTCGATGGATTTTTTTATATTCCAAAATTGTGACGTCAGAATTAATTGGTTTACGTTGGATTGATGGAGTAAAATAAGGTTTAGTACTATATAAAACAGACTAAATATTTATAATGAATAGTGATAGCGATTATGTGCTCTTAAATGCGGGCAATAATGAACAACTCAGTTCGTATGTATATGTACCTGAAGCACATTTGCAGCTCTGTTCTGCAGCCATAAAGATGATAAAGCGAGTGTTTGTGAATAGAGCATTTATTACATTACAAATGCCAAATAAAATGAAAAATTTTACAATTTCAGAATGCAGCAGAAGGTGGGGTGCAAAAATAACCCACACCTTCAACATAAGAAAATCAGTAATCTGAACAATAATAAAAATGTGCATGGAGGTTTGAAGAGGGGTGGAGGAGGGTAAAATTTTCAAACCACGTTTTTTGGAGCCAAGCGGAATTATGAATATGGGTTAGGCTAATAGCCGTAAATAGAGGGCGCTTGGAAACTATAACCCGGAAAAACCCCTCAAGACCCAAACATTCATACACATTATTAGTAAATCAAAATACAAAAACTTTGAGCATTTAGATCCCATAAATTCCTTTATATACATAAATACACTAAAATGAATTGTAGTTGGATATGATTTTTATCCAACTCATTGTGTGTCAAAAACACACAACTCGTTTGATATTAAGCATTCGAACTACATATCATTCGATAACCTATATATACTCATGGTTCGTTTTTTTAAGGATCGAGCAGGCACCTAGTAACAGGGGTTGCCAGGGGGGGCAGCCCCCCCCCTTTTTTGCCAACAATACTTTTTCTATTGAAAATGTTCGCCGAAAGACTGGTTCCCCCCCACTTTATACTTGAGTGTAATAATATGAAGGAAATATAGTATTGTAAGCTTAAAAAAATAGATATTGAAAAAGTTTGCCTCCCCCCCCCCCCCCCCACGAAATGGGATTTTCGACTTTGGCTTTTTTTGGCTTGATACGTGCCTGTTTAGGAACGTTTTTCAACTCGAAATAATATAGATTAATAGAGATATATTCCTTGCAATAACTATTTTATTCAGTTTTTAAAAATCTTTGATATTCCCAACAGAAACTTACAATAGTTGCACAGGTTAGTGCAGTAATCAAACAAACACAAACACATGAAGCTGCAATAAAACGTAAACAAAGGTACTGCAAGATAGCCAGCACGAACACGCGGGTCAGTATTCCACGCTGATACCCTTGCCAATAAAGCAGTCAAGTGTTTACCAAATGCGAGAAGTAAACCCTAGTGCTGATGTTATAGGTAGTAATACATGTATCGAAAAACCTATTTATGAGTCGTGTTCAGCTTTAAGAGACGTTAATTGCTAAATGAGAACTTGAAAAAAAGATTTTATCTCTGATCTTAAATCTTCAACTTTCCCTTTTTATGCAGTAATATTCAATATTCAATAATCATCTGCCCCGTGGGGATCCGGGTTAGAATAGGTCCTCAGTACCCCCTTGCTTGTCGTAAAAGGCGACTAAATGGGGCGGTACTTCGGATGAGACCGTATAAACCGAGGCCCCGTGTCACAGCAGGTGTGGCGCGATAAAGATCCCTCCCTGCTTATAGGCCGTAAGTGCCGAGCATAGGCCTAAATTTGCAGCCCTTTACCGGCAATGGTGACGTCTCCATATCAGTGAAATATTCTAGAGAGGGACGTTAAACAGTATACAATCAATCAATCAATCAATAATCATCTAAATATGGCTTTATGTCTTCTTTCTAAATTCTTTTAAAAGTATATCTTAATTATAAATTTTAACCCAATGTAACAAATAAGTTACTGTAATAGAATTGAAACTTTCTTCTTAAAAATCAGCGTTTTGTATATTCTGTGGAAATATATTGATTGCAAATACATCTTATCCATTGTTCCTTTTCTTACTGAGATGTTTCCCGCCAATTATTCGGGCGTTGTTTTTTTAAAACATCCATCCAAAGAATTACTTCTTTTACTTTTTACTTAATACATGATGTGAACCGTCAATGGGAGATACGTTCCTCTACGAGATTTTATCCCCAGGATTTCCAGGATACCGCTTGTTTGTCTTTTTTTAACTTGATTTCATTAATTTCATCACAGCTATTATTTTTCAATTTCATGTGACGATGACTGTTGTAACATTTTCAAATATAAGTGAAGAGTTGTAAGGATGCTTTTCCGCTTATTTTCCCTGGCTTCCTTTCTCTGTTTTAAAATTGAATAAGTAGATAAAATAGATTATGATTGTATACAGTGTATCTGAAACGTCAGATGTAGGAAATCAAGAGGTAAATGAAGTTCAGTTTATTAATTTTCGTAATTAAACAGCATATAGTATTCAAATGTACACTGAAAGACAAAAAAACTGGTTTCAAATTTACTTGTAAAAAGCACAAAATTTGAAAAATTAAGTGAAATTAAATTTTAAAATATCTAAAGAGTGTTTTCTAAAGTATACACCTATAAAAAGTAAACATGTTTTTGGAGACAATACCCAAAAGTATGATTGTATACTTATATAGAAAAAAAAATCATGTAAAATTTTAGATCATTCGAAAACTTGCATCTCCAGAGAAGGATTGTTAACGCTTAATCCCCTTCCTGGTGTTTAGCTGCATTAGATATGGCGACAGGCGGTCAGGATTCTTGGTAAGAAATTAACAATTGCTAGTTTTCAGTTCTGAATTTCAATTTACAAATTCTACCGCGTCTAAATGTTCCGACGTTTACTTTGCTGCTTTGAAATAATCTGTTTTTCTCATATTGACCTCCAATGTTGGACGTTAAATGAGTTAAATTGGACTACAGTACTAACTCTAACAATAATTTACCATAGTTCATTTTTTAATGAAATATATGGAGATAACAAACAGTATTCATGCTCAAAACAGGAGCACAGCAAACACGATGTCATGCAGGAGTGAGCATCTCGTACCATCAGGTAACATCCGCCATGTGCTCCTCGCCATGATCGGAAAATAACTGTAAAATCTGACTTCAATTGAGATTGTATAATCGTCTAACAATTATTATGAAAAACGTCAGTCAGCATTTGACTTTATGATGAATTGTATTTGCTGACAACGTCAATGTATCGACTGTAGAACTTACGAAATGATATGATTCACGTCCATCTAAGGAGAAATATTTCCTATGTTAATTAAATCTTCCGTCTTACAAAAGTTACTACAAAGGTACCAATAAAAATATAGACAAAGGATGAGAACCCCAAAAAGAGGTAGAGCCATGACATATCCATACATTTAAGAAATATACATAACTGTAAATGGCATACAAAAATTATTAGAAAAATTAGATCCTAGTAAAGCGACAGGACCAGACGAAATACCAGCTCGCATCCTTAAACAATATGCATTTTTTGCTCCACATCTTTCACATATTTAGCTCTTCTGAGCCAAAGGCTCAAAGAGCTAATGCTATGGCCATTTGTGCGGTGTGCGTCGTGATGTGCGGTGTGCGTAGCAGTGTCAAATTTGTTACAGGGTATCCTTGGCCCATTTTATACTAATATAAGCGTTGGGACCCTAAAAATGTAATGACATTTTCAAAAAGTTTTGAAACTGGCTTAAATATTACAATTAATGTTAAATAAATGGATCATCAAATGATAAATCTTAGGAAAGAATGTGGTCATGGTGACCTAGGTTTTGTTTTCAACTTGATTTGAAGGCATATTTTGGACACTTTAAGGCATGATCATCAAACTTTGTCAGTTGATGCATCTTGTCATTAATGTGACCTAGCATTTATCCTTTTTAAAACATTTCATCCCATTATAGACACTGAGAGGGTTTCATCAAATCTTGTAAGTTGCTGCATCTTGGAACCTTAAAACATATTTAAGAAAAAGCCTCAACTTTTAATGGCACATTGTTTAAAAGGCATATTTTGATTACCTTCAGGATCATTTTCCTGATGCATCTTGGGACCCTGAAAACAGTAGGTCACTGTGACCTACTTTCGGGCTATATTTCAGTATCTTAGGTATTTATTGGCTTAGAATCATCAAACTTTGTGAATTTTTTGATATCCGGTACTTATTGGCTTAGAATCAAAATTTAATAACAAATCACATATCTAGGTCACAATGACCTACTTTTGACATTTAATGGCTATATTTACATATTTCTGGTACTTATTGGTTTAGAATCATCAAACTTTGTTAGTTAATGCCTCTTGGGTTTTCTGAGAATGTCGACCAAAAAGGAGATCACAGTGACCTACTTTTGAATATCTCTGGTATTTATTGGCTTAGAATTAATTGGTCAGCAGATTGAAAATGTCAACCAAAATGTAGGTCACGTTCTGCATTTAATGGCTTTTTAAGAAAACTTATCGGGAAATCAAACTTTGTCAGTTGATGCATCTTGGGTTTTCGGATGACGTAGGTCACGATGACCTATTAACATTTTATGGCTATAACACATTGTGAGAATATCAATGACTTATGTATTGATTTGACCAAAAAGTTCTGCATTGAATTTCAATTATTTAAAAAAACTTTGCAGTTGATGCATCTTGGGTTTTCCAAGAATGTAGACAACTTTTACACTTCAGTTTGTCATTTTTTAGTCCTCAGAAAACTCAATCTTAGTAGGTCAAAATGTGTTTTTTATAGCTTTATTTAAATATCTTCAGTCCTAATTGGCTAAGAATCATCAAACTTTTTATCAGTTGATGCAACTTGGGTTTTAGGATACTTAGGGTTAGAGGCTTCAAATCTTAAGTTGTACAATTTATCATATTTTTAACATTTCACTCGCACAAGGGGAGGTACCTGCAGACTGGCGTCAAACTAATGTCATTCCTATATTCAAAAAGGGGGGAAATATTTGGCTAGTAATTACAGACCTGTTTCATTAACATGCATTTGTTGTAAAATTCTAGAGCATATAGTTGTCAGCAACGTTTTGAACCATTTAGACAAATATGATAGATATCTTAGTAGATTGCCAACATGGATTTAGAGCTAAGAGAAGTTGCGAAACTCAGCTACTTACTCTTAGCCATGAATTATTGGAAAATTTACATTCAAACTGATCTGATCATTTTGGACTTCTCAAAGGCATTTGATAAGGTACCTCACCAGAAGTTGCTGAGGAAGTTGGATAATTATGGGATACGCGGTAACACCTGGAGACGGGTCTCTGCTTTTCTCAGCAACAGAGTACAACAGGTTGTCCTTGATGGTGAGGTATCCAGTCCAGTGTCTGTGGTCAGTGGGGTTCCTAAAGGGTCAGTCTTTGGGCCCCTTCTATTTTTAATTTTTATATATAAATGACCTACCATCATCTGTTACATCTAATACAAGGCTCTTTGCCGATGACTGCTTTATCGACCCATTCATAATCAAAATGACTGTGTAATCCTCCAAAAAGATCTTGATTCCTTAGCTAACTGGGAATATGTCTGGGGAATGCAATTTCATCCTCAAAAATGCAATTCGCTCAGTATCACCAGATCTAGATCTCGCACACCAGTAAAATATAATTATAACTTAAAGGACACACATTAGAATCTATAAAGAAAATATATTTAGGGGTAACATTATCCTACAACATAACCTGGGAACTGCATATCAATAATATAACTTCTAAGGTGAATAAGATATTGGGTTTTTTAAAAAGAAATTCGCAGATAAAAAAAGAAGAAACAGGGGGTCCGTTTGCGCAGGGCCAGCGTATAATCATCATGTTTGATGGAATGCTGTAGTATGTAGATGTAGATGTAGATATCAAAAACAGCCATACCACCAAAATAGATATTTATGATTTTTATGATTTGGAAATTATAAAACGTTTCATTTTTAGAATTGTTACTAGTTCTCTTATCCTTTCCCAAAAATAAATCGAAATAAGCCTTACTTGAGAAAAAACCTTACTAGGAGTTTTAAAGTTTTTAAGGTATTTTTTGAATTCCTATTCAAAAATGATTTTTAAAAGTTAAAATTCATATTAAATAATGGCTATACGTAAGAACTAAATAATGATCAGCATGAACAACAACGGTATTTTTTCATTATACCCCCGCTTGAAAAGCGGGAAGGTATACAGTAATCGGTATGTCCGTCCGTCCGTCCGTCTATTACGCTTTGGGATACCCATCTTTTATCCGCAACTCCTCTCATACCACGGAAGTGAAATTTAATGAAACTTTCACAGAACCTTTATTACATATTGCCATTGTACAGTAACCATTTATTACATATTGCCAAATGTCTTAAACATTGATACATGAATAAGAACATCAAGAAATGTGCTAAATCAAATCTACGTTAACTTGTTTAAAAATCATTTTCCGCTAAATATCGTAACGCTAAATATAATACATTTACAGTATTTTACTTTTTGATATATATTTTGGATTTTCCAGAGCAAAACATGGACACTGCCATATTATTCATATGGGAGGCGGGGGGTATCATTTAGTGAGCTTATTTCTCACAGTACCTCTAGTTTATATTATGTTAATTTGAAAGAGGTTCTTTGCAACATCTTTCTGTAAAAACAGGGAAAGGAATGATTCGGCATATTTTAATGTTTACTCTTTGTAAGAATGGGAAAAAATGCACCAGATAAATGTTACAATTACGCTTTAAAAGACTGAGGGACAATATGAAACCCAACTACATGTATCCATCTGTATTCGACAGTTATAAGTGGAAAGATATACTAGATAGATTACATGATCAGTATTTACTGGTGACTTCTGTCACCAAAGCAGATTACAACATTAATTAAGGAAGGATGTGGTGATAACGAATAGTCCATAAAACAATACAAGATAGGAGCAGAGCAAACACGGATCTCCGAAACATTAGAGGTGGGATCAGGTGCCATGAAAGAGTGAGCATCCCTGCTGACCAGTCACAACCGCTGTGTGCTCAATGTCATGATCAGGAAATGACGGGAAAATCCATCGTCAATTCAGTGTATAAATAATGGACTAACAATTAGATGAAAAACGTCAGTAAGCACTTGACTCAATGATAAATTGTATTAGCTGACAAGGTCATTGTATCGACCATAGAACTTACGAAATGATGACTTTAAACGAGACTAGTGTTATTCCTGTTTCATCAACTTGTTTGTCAATAATTTACCTCGTTTTAGAAGTTCTTCATACGTAGAGCATGCTCGAATCAACTCTGTATGCGGGTGATGAAGTACGTTGCTGCATAAGTAAGGGAAGTTGACGATAGAAAAGTCATCACGTTTATCGTATAGCTTGGATGTTAGAATACCATTAACGTTTGTATGAAGTTAAATATCCAAGTATGAAACAGATATATCAGACTCTGTGGTATCTTTTATCTCAAGGTCACCAGGATATATCGTATCGACGTAGGAATGGAAATAACCATTGTAAATTGACAATAGGTCGTTGATGTATCTAAATGTCGAGATAAAGGCCACAGCAAGTGTTTTCTTCTTTCCACGCATAAGATTTTGCACAAATTCTGCTTCATATGAATATAAAAATAAGTGTGCTAATAACGGAGCGCAATTTGTATCCATGGGAATTCCAATAGATTGTTGGAATACCTGGTCTCCAAAAACCCACATAGATATTGTCAATCAGAAACTCAAGCATCTTCTTGACGTCACCGTATGCCGGTGAAGGGCTTTAAATCTTGACCTTTACTCGGCACTCAAGGCCATTTAGCAGTGAGGGATCTTTTTTGTGCCAACGCCCGCCGCTGACACGGAACCCCGGTTTTTAAGGTCCGAAGGACCCGCAACTTTCACCTCAAAGTGCTGAGCGCATGGCGAAGGAACAGTTGCTTCCCATTTTTATCGACTTAGGTCAGTCGATACCTTCCGATCACGGAGCGAGTGCTCTACCGACTGAGCTACCGTGAACGGTAATTGTATTTTAGAAGAACTTGGATTTAATTCTACAAGTGACAATCCAACTTTTGCACATAGTTTCCTTTCTTAGGAAGACATTCTTCAAAACCATATGTCAGTTTTGAAATTTTTTAGGATCCCAAAGAATCAAAATGAATTTGAAATACGTATACCATATGTTTATTGGATTTCAAAATGTCAAAAGAATCCTTACAAAAAAGATCTATTCACAAAAGGTTCTAGTAAATGTTCAACCAAGCCTCTTTCTTTACTCCTTACTAAGATATTAACAGTAGTAAAGGAGAGACTTCAAGAGTTTTGTGCAATAAATTATTTCAGAAGTGGTGTAAATCAGATGAGGATACACATGTGGATACACATTGCAAGGAAATTTTGGACAATTTGAAATCTCAAGGTTTTACTTAAATCAAAAGCTTACAAACATACACTGTACGACTTTATAACTTTATACATAATCATTCCCCAGGAGAAATTTAAGTTTAGGCTTTTTGATATCAATGACAGCTGCTTTTTCAATTATTTTTTTTAAAGAACGAGGGCGCTTTTGATTGGCAATCTTCAGGAATCTTGGCGTACATGTATTTGAAAAGTGAACATTTTATCGACATGTTATATGAAATTTTATAAAAAAAATTTTATTTATCGGGTTCCTGTGCAACAGGAACGGAAAATATTTTCCCGAAATTGAGCTTTGATTAGCTAAAAAATAAAATTGGCCAGATCAGACAATTGGTACAAAATGGTAAATTTTTAAACACTTTTTTCTAAAATTTTTCTATCTCTGGGTCTTCTCTCCATGATTTTGAAACATTATTTGTGTGAATTTTATTTCAAAGAAACGAATACACATTTTTAAAAAATGGAGAGAAGACCAGGAGACCACGAAAAATGAACTTTTTCCCAAAAAATCCAAATGTGTGAATGTTGTGCTTCTTTGTCCTTTTTAAATCAACTGTATATGTATAGCGGTGATAGCTCAGTAAGTAGGACTACCTGTTGAATGTGCTCGAAGCGAAAAGTTTTTGGTTCGAGCCTGGCATCGGGCGTTAATTTCTTTTTCATGCAAACAACCATTTATTTTGTCAGTTTCGTTTTATGTACTGATGTATTAAAATTTTGAATTAGATAAATTTTGGTTCAATTTGATTCTCGAGCGAAATCAATTCCAATCTTCTATTCCATATTGTACATGTACACGTATCATGCATCTATGTATTAAAATTTTAGGTGTTTATTTTTTGTGAAACATTACTATGTTATAGTACCGCCAAGGAAAAAACGGACAAAAATGTTACACTCTCACAAGGTCTTTCAAACTAAATGAAAAAAAAACTCTATGGACGTGTTTGTAAAATCTGACCAGCTATGTTCAGCCAACCAAATCATGGACATTTAAACCATAAATGTTCCGTACAAATGATTCCTGCAGATCACACGCCAAATGCGCCTATCTTTTTTACTTACCTTGTCATTGGTCATTTGCAACATTATTTTGTTAAAGAACCTTCTGATTATGCACACAAGTACTCTGAATTTGACATAAAAAATATGCTGGAATTTCTGATTGAAAATATCCATGTGCTTTTGGAGACCTGGGGGTCGTAACATAAAGGCTACTGGAATTTCAAAACTGAGTTGACTTAAGAATATATTTAAAATTATTTAACATTGACTTTCGATGTTAAAACATTTCTCTATTCATAATATACATTAAAGAAAATAATTGTCTCTATTTGACGCTCATTTAAGAATTTTATTTTTTTTCGTGGGGGAGGGGGGGGGGGGGCTGATTGTACATATATTTAAAATTATTTAACATTGTGTCAAAACATTTCTCTATTCATAATATACATTAAAGGGGATTTAAGAATTTTATTTTTTTTCGTGGGGGGGGGCAGTATCACTCCCAACATAGCATACATGTAAATAAAAAAAAATAATTTTAGGGATCACTCCCAACACAGCATTCATGTAAATACAAAATTTAATTTTAGAGATATTCCCATAGAAATAAATTGAACACAGTGTTCACTTTGAAAATATCAATGCGGATTTAGGAGTTCGAGAGAGAGAGAGAGAGAGAGAATTGCTGTTAAGTGGAGACCAATTTTTTTTTTGTATTGGTTGCAAATGAATATCTGTTTTTATATTCATATGTGTTGAATTTTTAGTATAAATTGGAATCTTTTCTTGTCTGCGATAATAACAGGCTAAGTGAACATTTGTCAAAACAAAAGAGTTACAAAAGGTCATTTCATATAAAACAATTGTCGTACATTTACAATGAATCACAAATCGAAATTTGTTTCCAAAGAACAATTCATAACATAATTATAATTCTAATACGTCTAATCTAACATAACTTAAACCGATAGCCTTCACTAACTGAATAACTTTTAGCAATATATCTATATAAAATCAAAAACCATTGGTTGACTCATATGAAATATTTTTAACATAAATTTGACTTAGATATATCGCTTTATGTTACGGTTTAAGACATACTTAAGTAGTACTTAGACAGGTCCTAAGATTGTGCCTAAAACGTACAACGTCAAAAACTTAGCAAGCTTTATGTCAATTAACAATCTTTTGGTAATTTCCATTTTTTATATTCATATGAATTGTATAAATAGGAATTGTCGATATATACTAGCTGTGGCCTTCAACTCGACATTTAGAGCTTGGTAATTTCCAGTCTGATATATCCCAAAAAAAAAAAAATATTACAGGGTCCGACACATCTGTTTCATATTTGGATATTTTACTTAAAAAAGACGTTAATGGTAATCTAACAAGTAAGCTATATGATAAACGCAATGACTTCTGCGTCTCTTACTAATGTATTAATATACCCTCATCACCTGCATACAAGGTTTATAAATGTCAGTCGATTTCATACTCAAGAGCATGCTCTACGTACGAACAATTTCTAAAACGAGATAAATTATCGACAAACAAGTTGATGAAACAAAAATATCAGCAGCTTTGTTTAAAGTAATCAATTCGTACGTTCTATGGTCGATACAATGACCTTGTCAGGAAATACAATTTCTCATTGATTCAAATGCTGACTGACATTTTTCATAATAATTGTTAGTCCAATATTATTCACTGAATTGACGACGGATTATTAAAAAAGCCCCCCTCCGTGTTTGCTCCTATCTTGTATTATTTTATGGACTTTTGATCTTGAATACTATTTGTTATCTCCGTACATTTCATTATAATTACTTTTATTTCAAAAATCAAACTTTCTGATAAGTCAAAATTGTGAAATAGGTAGTTGATAATCAAAAGCTGCTAATTGAAAAAAATAACATTTAAAATCTAAATGACTAATTCTTTATAGCGTTTATGGAAGTGATGTGGAGAAGTACACAAAATGTCCATGTTGTTCGAAAAATTACGTTGACCCTTGGTTTCTGCAATGTGGTCATACAATGAACTTGAGATGTATTCGTAGGCAGCAACCAATTGTAAAATGCTCTGTTTGTGATGAAACCTTTCTTCAGGCTACAAGTAGGATTGCCATAAATCGGTTTGCTAAAGATATTTCTTTGAAGGTAGCATATAGGGAAATCACCAACCTTTTGCTCACTAATCCCGCATGTTCTTTAAGTGAACATACCGATAAAGATGCAGTAAGTTACTGTGAAAGATGCAGTATGAGGATGTGTCACAATTGCAATCAATTTCATAGCATGAATCCCTCAACTAAAAGACACAAAACATACGAAGTCAGTGAGATGATTGACAGGAAATGCCATGAGGAGGATATAAATGTTGATCCACAGTCACCTTGTGAATACCACGATCATGAAATCATTAAGAATTGGTGTTTAGACTGTAAAATTCCATCTTGTAATGAATGTTGTTCAGGACATCATTTAGAGTCACTTTCAAAACATGTAATAAGAGCCGAAAATGAAATTCGGATAATAAAAGAAAAACTCGAAAGAGGTTTAACAGCTATACAAATCGATTTGGAAGTGGTAAAACAAAATAAAAAAATAATAAAACAAGGAGGACACTTAAAAGGAGAAATTGCTTCCGAAATGGAGTGGTCCAAACAAAAATGCAAACTTGTCATTAAAATATATGACGTCTTATTACGGGAAGTGTCTCTGCTTCAAAAGAAGGGGAACGAATTTCACAAGTGTTACACTCTGCCATTTTTCTCATTCCAAACTAAAAGAATTCAAGAATCGACCAACAGTATTCCAAGTTGTAGTCGGAGTGCCAGCATCAGATCATCTGCATCAACCAACAGCGATTTTAGCTCGTCAGCCACTTATAGCATGTATATCAATTCGAGACTTTCTAGCTCAATGTATACTTCAGCCGATAGGACGAGAAACATGTATGAAAATATGAATGGAATGAGTGAGATGGACGCATTATATGGTAATGAGGTAGGAAAAAGTGGGGTGTAAATTTGATTTGATGCAAATTATGTTCAAAACAGTTAATATTACAACAAATTTAATAGATATTTTATGGTTAGCAAATATGTTTACGTCTATAATATACATAAAAAATCAATGAAAAGGTATCGGTCATCCTGAATACTACTGTAGATAACTAAATTTTCGCGATACCTTATTTTCGCGAGATAGTCATTGATTCTTGATTAGCGAGACAAAATTTTCGCGAATTACGGTTATTGCTCTATATAATCTTAAGGAATACTATTATACGCGAGAATGAAATTTTTCGCGAACACACTGTCCCGCGTAATTACGCGAAAATAAAGTTCTCGTGAAGAAAAAGTGATTTACAGTATATTGTACTACACATACAAATAAAAGATCGAAGATGCTTTTAATATTAGAGTAAATTGAATAGTCCTGTTAATTCTTACTTTCATTGTTTAAAACAGTCATTTTTCAAAAATAGCATACCGCAACTAAAATGCTGAATACTAGTATGTACATAGATCTGACTTTGTGGATTTTAACATCGTAGGATCTCTACACTGACATCAGTCAAATCAAATCATCAAAAGTCAATGAGTCGTCTTTAACACGGAGTAGAAGTACACAGAACAGTGAAGACATTCAAGAAAGACTGAACTATTTTGACACGGAATCAAGAATTACAGGTAAGGAACTTCAAGGTATGTTTCATCTGTCCTTGTCAGCAAATGCAAACTATCATTGGGCGAATGCTATCTGGCGATTTTCGTACAAATTATCAGGTCATATTGTACACACTGAATTGTCCACCGATTTTTGTGTTTGCCCGATCATAAGGAGTACACACCAGGTGTGAACGGTCGATAAGGGATGCTTACTTTCTCATGGCACGTAATCCCATGCACCTCTAGTGATTTACATGTTCATGTTTGCTTTGCTCCAAATCAAATGAATGGACCTTTGGGCTTGATTACGGTTCGCTTTAATTTCATTTTCCATAATTTATATTATCCTGTGATTCCATAAAATTTGTTGAATAAAACATGTATCAGAGAATAACTTGAAATGATTATTTTCAAATACTTTGCAAGTTAATTAGACATAAGAACTTCTTTTCCTGAAAAAAATATATCATGAAAAGGATATCCTATATTCATATGTCAATTCCGAAAGTTGCAAAATAGCAAGTGGTAAATGCAGAAGAATAAAGCAATAGAAATGAAGATAAATATATATGATTATATTTTCAGCTTTTTATTGAGAGAGATAACGTCGTTATATTTTCGAAATGAAAACTTTTCGGAACATTTGAAGAAAATTTTTGATGAATGTGAGTGATTTTTTTCATTATAAATTCACACACATATATATAAAAAACTTAATTTACTACATGAATAAAATATGGATAAAGCGTACAGTATTCAAGTTTAAAGCCTATACAAGTCGGGAGCAGGGCAAACACGGACCTCCTAAAACATCAGTGCTGGGATGAAGTGAGATCCCCTATCGACCTGTCACACCTGCCACGTGTTGATCCTGGGAAAAGGAAATATTCGTTGACTATTTCGTCCATAAACATTTCAGTCAGCATATGGCAAAATGATATGTTGTGTTTGCTGGCAAGGTCATTGTATCAACCATGGAACTTTCACAATCATGTGTTAGATTCAAACAAAAGGAATATCATTATTAGTGAGATTCTTTTTTATCATACAGTATGTTACTAACATTACCCGTGTATAATTTAATGAGTTTCAGTCTTAAAGGAAAGCATGTTTATTCTAATTACTGTTTAAAAACTTTCTGAAATGTCTTACAAAATATATTGATGCATAAAACAAACTCTTCTTTTCAAGAAATCTGGTTTTCTGTAAGATTTGAAAAAGTTTAAAACTTGCTCATGTACTTAAATATATTTAGTTCTTTACATGAGTACACTAAAACAGTAAATAATACGTTTCGATACTTATAGTTTACAAATCTAATAATATGTAATGATTAAAACTAGGCCATTGCGTGCTATAGTAGAATTGGCAAGTAAATACAGTGTTGCGTAAAAAATGCCATTTAATCAATAGGCTTGCAAACAGCAACGTTTCTTTTGAGGGTGAACTTGAACAATCGGAAAAAATATTATAATTAAAAAAATAACAATAGAAAAATGAAAACTGAGAACCGGCAAAAGAAAAAGAGTACTTTGAATAGATATTTATCAGGTGTGTTTGGATTACTGTACATCTTCACGACGACTGTGAATAATGTGTTCGACAATAACTATAAATATAATAAATTACAGCTCAACACACTTTTTAAACTCACATGGTTTTTTGCACAAATTAAAGTCACATTGTTACAATGCAAAATTGTATAACGTGACAACAATATTTATTTTAAAAGTAATTTATAACCTCATTTTGAAATTTTCCCATTACTTTAAACATAATTCACACAGAATAATTGGTAGGACTTTTATATGCTATCGGGTGATAGATTATGACAGTTTACAAATCATTTTTCATAATTCCTAGTCAAATGCATTCGTCTTTGTATCCGTGCATTTCACTGTTTTCAGCTACCGATTCGTTCAAATAATTCGTGATCTTGGAAAAAGAAAGATGATCTCAAAAAAAAAAGAATCAGCAAATATATGTATATATTGACATTAAAGTTACAAATTCATTGTATGTCTTTAGGTATGGTTTATGTGAATGACATCATCATAGTTGCCAGTCATTCTGCAGGATTTTGTACTGGTTATGACATCCATGGTAAAATCTTATGGGATATAACAGAAAGATTGAATGGACCCTTTGATGTAGCAGCTTATACGTCAGACGACAGGAAAGAATACCTTTACATCACAGATCCTGGAAGACGTTATTGTATTGCATTTGTTTAGTTATGATAGCAAACAGACACATTCTATCAATTTTTTGTTACATTTAGAAACTAAGCTAAAGTAAAAAAGTATATATATTCAAATTTAATTTTTTTTTATCGAAAGAATGTTAACTATTGGATTAATATTCATTTTTAAAAAAAAACTAGAATAAAATTGGGAAATTTACAAATGAAGTCTTCTAAATTTTGTGATATTTTCAATGCTTTAAATTATTTCTATTGCATAATTAATTGTTTTAGCAATTTTTGAGTACCATACATAATCAAACTTTCACAATGTATAATGCATTTTCCTTATAGTATCTTCAGACGCAACAATCCATGTCTTCAAATTGAGGAAAAATGATCGATACAGTTTTGAGAAAAGATTTACGAAAAATTGTGATAAACCGCAAGGAATTTGTGTAGCATCCTCAAAAGTTTATGTTTGTGAACCAAGGAAAAATGAAGTAATCGAATATACCATTCGCAGGAATGGGACAGGACAAGTTCTTAATAAATACGGAAAAGGTGTTTTGTTTCTTAAGCAACCCTCGTATGTTTCGGTGGAAACAGGTGGTTCCAAAATTAGACTTTTGATATCCGATAAAGAACTTGGCTTAAAAAGAGTTGTGCTCTCCGAGAGGGAAAGCAATACAAGTGGTTGGAAAAGTCCGAAGGGTGAATATTTCACTCCGTCCAAACCTTGTGTTTGTAAGAACAATGTTGTTGTAGGAAATTCAACAGGTCAAAAATTACATTTTGTAAATTTTCAGACTCGAATGTTGAGCCACAAAGAATATGAAATTGAAAATATTTTTCACAGTCCTGTTGCACTTGCGTTTGAAAGCAATCAGGGATACCTTATAATGGCGTGTAAAGATGGTCATGTTGTCATATATCGCACTGTGGATCAAGTGGAAATGTATGAAATAATTCCTGAAGTGAAAAACGATGATCCAGTCTATGTAAATCATTATTTTCCAATGTAATTAGAAACAAGCTTAATATAATGTTATCGTTATAAATTAATTTGAGCTGTTTCATAAACAATAGAATTAAAAAAAAACATATAGGGGCTAAATTTCATTGTTATTTCTTCTTTAATTTTACACAAGTTTGTTTTGCGAATGTTGGGAAGATATAGTTACGTTGTTGAATTTTACTGTATGAAAAATATGGAGATAACGAACAGTATTCAATATCAAAGTCCATAAAACAATACAAAATAGGAGCAGAGCAAACCGAAACATAAGAGGTGGGATCAGATGCCATGGAGGAGTGAGCATCCCCTGCTGACCGGTCACACCCGCCGTGTGCTCCTTGTCATGATCGGGAAAATCCGTCGTCAATTTAGTGTATAAATAATGGAGTAACAATTAGCATGAAAAACTTCAGTTAGCATTTGACTCAATGATAAATTGTATTTGCTGACAAGGTCATTGTGTCAACCATAGAACTTACGAAATGATGTGTCAGACTCTGTGGTATCTTTTATCTTAAGTTCACCAGGATATATGGTATCGACGTAAGAATGGAAATTACCATTGTTAATTGACAATACGTCGACGATATATTTAAATGTCGAGATGAAGGCCACAGCAAGTGTTTTCTTCTTTTCACGCATCAGATTTTGCACAAATTCTGCTTCATAGGAATAAAAAAGTAGGTCTGCTTATAACGGAGCGCAATTGGTACCCATGGGAATTCCAATAGGTTGTCTGAATACCTGGTCTCCAAAAACCACATAGATATTGTCAATCAGAAACTCAAGCATCTCTTGATGTCAACTTCAGAGTACTTGTGTGTGCAATCAGAATGTGTTTTAACAAAATAATTTTGCAAATGACCAATGACCAAATAAGTAAATTTACGAGTTCCATTTTTATTGAAAATGCAGCAAAAAGCCTGGACTTTAATTTATCGTGGGTAGTGGTTGTGTATATAGTTGAATAGTCGTAAGTTTTTATGCTGTTGATTTGGTTAAAATCTTGTAATTTCAAATTGCCCAAATGTTGTTTGGAATTTTTGATTATCCACATCTGACACACACCACTTCTTGAATATATTGTTGCACAGTCCTCTTGAATTTTTTTCTTCACTACTGTCAATATCTTAGTGAGGAGTAACGAAAGAGGCTTGGTTGAACATTTACTGGAACCCAAATGTATCTTTGTTTGTAAGGATTTTTATAAAGTTTCGGAATCCAATATATATAGGGTAGTTCAAATTCATTTTGGCTCTGTGGAATATTAAAAATATTAAAACTGACATATGATTTTGAAGAATTTCTTCCTTAGAAAGGGAAGTACGAGTACAGTCGTTTGGCCAGTTCCGGATTTTGGCCAGTTCCGAATAATTAGTAATTTAAGGACTGATAATTAATAAATTCAACGGTGTAAAAATAAATTGTTATCTATGGTAGGAAGGCTTATTCATGAGTGTTTGAATTATATGAAGTTTTGATTTTTTGCCGTCAGTTTGGTTTCGTTATCGTACTTGAAACAGTCGACATACTTTTACAATACAACAAATCTGAATCACCGCGACGCGTAAGTCTGCAGAAAAACCTCTGTAGATACATACATATTTCACATAAGACAACGTTCCAGGTATCAAAAGTAATTTTGATATGTACTCTAAAATATACTAAAAACTTGTCAAAAATAGATATTTAGAACACTGGAAGATATCGAAATATTTTCTTTCTCTTATTTTACCAGTTCCGAATACCCATTTTAAACACTATTATAAATTCACTCTTCGTTGTTTTTCTTCATTGTAAACGTGACTTATTATACCCTCGCTTGAAAAAACGGAAGAAGGGGAATATAGTAATGAGATGTTTGTCCATCCATCCGTCTGTACGTCCGTACGTACGCCTGTCTGTACGTCCGTTCGTCTGATACGCTCTGGGGTATCCATTTCTTATTCGCAACCCCTCTTCTGCCACTGAATGAAGTTTAATGAGGCTTCACAGAATTTAATGAGTCGTTCACAGAATCTTTGTTTAACAGTGACAAAGCGCACCTATTTTATTTTTGGATCTGGCACATAATTTGTGGTCCCTGAGAAAAACATAGATACTGCCATTCTTTGTAATAGTGAAAGGTATATCCATCTCTTATCCACAATTCCTCCTATACCACTGAATACTATTTAATGATATTTTAACCGATTCTTTATTACATCGTGACATTGTAACCTTGTATTTTACTTTTTGATCTGACGCTTATTTCGGATCTCCCAGAGCAAAACGTGGATTATATCATAAATAATTATAAAGAAGGTGTGGGGTTTCATTAAAATGAGCTCAGTGCCCACAGTACCTCTAAGTTTCTCTTCAACCTTTAGAAATACAAATAATTTATTGGTAAGCAATTAATTTAACCTTTCTTGGGCATGCCAATGGATAACGTCTTCGACGTATATTTCTTAATTTAGGGTTGAATTGAATAAGAGTCTCTAGGTTATCCGGAACTCGTCGGCTTATTCGTAACTAGTAAAATGGACACCTATGGTAACTTGCAAAATAATTTTTTTTGAGGGAAGGCTGAAATTTTATGAAACAATATTTAATTCCACAAGTCATCGAACTACCTTGATAAAACAATTTGATTTTGAAATAATGCCTAGTATATTTATAGCACCGCCGAATCGATTTCTTATTCGGAACTGGCCAAAGAACTGTATAAGTGGGATTGTCACTTGTAGAATTAAATCCAACTTCTTCCAAAACACAATTTATATAATGAGCCTTATAAATGAAGACAATGCTGTTACCTGCTTTGTCGGCAGGGATCAAAGGTCCTCTTTATTAACTATATTTACGTCACCTGTAATAATATGTCCAGCAGGACTACAGTTATAGGGCAAAGAAGAACATGAACACGATGGAGTATTCTGTTTCAGATACTCAGTATCCAGGCCATGTAATTTTTTTTTGTAAATGAAAATTTTGGAAGCAATGGTCGATGTATATTTGTAGGAAATACAAGGTATAGTCTTTAACTTGAAATATGGTGGAATACAAGACTGGACCCTTTTGTAATTAAGAATTTTACTTATATTAACCGCGTCAATTCCTTTATTGGCATATTGAAGTTTAAGGAAAAGACGGATTGATTTAGCTGCATTTTCTTCCGTATTGCAGGTTTATTGTACGACCGATACCTATGACTACGCTTACGTCTCTGTGTATGATTAAAAAGTCTCATTACATTTCATTATTACACTGTGGACTGGAAAGATTTTAAACACTATCGACATTGTCATTGAATAAAACATGTACTAGCAATAAATATCAAAATGACGATATTCAACACCTTATACGAAGGTTGTCCGCAAAAATAGAGGACAAGTGTGAAAACTTATCATCACTGTGTTTTAAAGTTTTCACTACTCTTTATTAAAAATGATAATTTTTCATCAATACACATTACAAATTTCAAATAGATTTATGCATAAATAAACAAATTATGAACTTTTATGATATGTTTTTCCTTATGGTGCACGGACGATAACCTTAATGTGTTTAAAACAGCGTCACATTTCCTGTTTTCTTAGAAAAGTTGAAGAAGGAAGATGGAATTTTATTGATGCGCATACTTGAGTTTCCCTTTATTCCTCCAATCGAGGACCCAATCTTGCATATACATAGGACCTTAAAAGGTTTATATGAAAGTTAAGGATAATATTCTCACTATCATTCAGCTAAATAGAAAATCTTACATTGATAATCTACACCAACAATAAATGTTTGTCAATATGTTTTTTTCTACATGGGGGACTCGATAAAAAAAAGGATTCAAGCAGAAAATGCCCATTTTACTTGTTTACTACAGGTCTGGTGATTTTTTTTTTCATTTTTCCATATTTTATTCTTTTGTATTTATTTAAAGACTGTTAGGGTGTTATGTCTAATACTGAATTGATCTCCAGTGCGCGTAACGTCATCAAACGTCACTATTTTTCGTGTGATGTGTTTACCATTTTCCAATTTCAAATACTCGGGAATCTGCCAAAAATTAAAGAAATGCCTTGAAATCTTCCAAAAGACGCTGAGTAGATAGTGGATTAAAACAAGAGGCCCATGGGCCACATCGCTCACCTGAACACATAGGCTTGTTATAAAACACAAATCAGCTCAGTATTGAAAAGCTTACTTGTTGGGGGAGGGAGGTTTGAATTTTTTATTTCTCGAGAATGTCACTATATCGATAAAGCATACATGTATAATTTTGCCATTCATGAGAAAAAGAGTTTAAGTTTTTTCCTATATATTTCTATTTAAAGATTTGATTGCCCATTATGTCCCCACCATACCCCCAGGAGTCATGATACGAATAAACTTGAATTAACTCTAACTGAGGGTGGTTCTGTATCAATTTCACCAATCATAGCTTTGGTAATCTTGTGAAGAATATTTTTAAAAGATTTTTCCTATGTATTCCTATGTAAAACTTTGATCAGCCAGTGTGGCCCCACCCTATCCCCGGGGGTCATGATTTGAACAAACTTGAATCTACACTACCTGAGGATGTTTCCACATGAGTGTCATCTTTCCTGGTCCAATGGATTTGGAGAAAAGGATTTTTTTTAAATTCCTATATATCCCTTTGTATAACTTTGATCAGCCATTGTGTGGCCCCGCCCTATCCCTGGGGGTCATAATTTGTACAAATTTGAATCTACACAACCCGAGAATGTTTCGACATGCGTTTCATCTTTCCAGGCCCAGTGGTTCTGGAGAAGATTTTAAAAAAAAATCCTATATATTGCTATGTAAAACTTTGCTCAGCCATTTGGCATCGCCCTAACCCCGGGGGTCGTGAATCTACACTACCTGAGAATGCATCCACATGAGTTTCATCTTTCCTAGTCCAATGATTCTGGAGAAGAATTTTTTTTTTTTAAAAATCCTTTATTTCCAATGTAAGACTTTGGTCAGCCATTGAGGCCCCGCCCTCTACTCCCTGGGGGTCATGATTTGAACAAACTTGAATCTACACTACCTGAGGATGTTTCCACATGAGTGTCATCTTTCCTGGTCTAATAGTTCTGAAAG